CTTGCCCCCCCCTCCCGGAAAATGCTCCCCCCCCCCCGGCCCCACCAGTCTCTTTTCCTCTGAAATAAATTGCAGGAACAGTTTCTCTTTCATCAAGCTAAAGGAGAACAAACCAATGCAGAAGGAGCTTTCAGTATCAGAAAGGCCTCACGTTCTTCCTTTGGGCCAAGTTTAAGTCCCGACGCAACTCACCCACGCTGCCGAATATCCAGCTGCCTCCGTGGAAGTACACGATCCCCTTCCTTCGGCCGGCGGAGGGTGCTCTGGGCTGGTAGATCCGGACAGGAATGTGCTTAAATGTTGTGTCTTTGACAAACAGCGTGGAGTCTTTTCTTCCTGTCCACGCACTCCGCACAAATCTGACAAACTGGATTTGGGTGCAGATGTGCAGGTCCTCCAAGATCTTTCCCTTTTTGGAGAGCAGAGCAGGTGGGTCAGGCAGCCTTACCGGATTCTGACAGTTGATAAAACCCCTGCCAACAGCCATCTAGTCCAGGGGTCAGAAACATTATGCCCTTGGAACTCAGTGGGGCAGGGGAATGATGTGTGTTGTGCGTGTGTGTGTGTGTGTGTGTGTGTGAGAGAGAGAGAGAGAGAGAGAGAGTTCTTCCTCCATTTTTGAATATCCTTATTGAAATCTTAAGACTGATTCATGGAAAAGACACAGTCCTGCCTGGCATTCTGGATTGTATGGATTAGGAAAGTTGAGTCAATTGCTAAGGAGCTGCGTGTTGCAAACAGGATAAGGCACGACTTACCTGCTCTGTCAGAGATCTGATCAAAGGAAAGATGCATACAATTCATCAAACCTGGCTGGCATTTTCACTAGAATAAGAGCGATTTAAAAATGGGGAAATCTTAATAAAATGAGCAGCCCGGAAGACCGTGTTGGGTCCCCAGGATCTGGCCTACAGAGACAAAGGCCGCAACGCGTAGGAAGCCCAGCCTGGCACGGGTCGGGACGAACAGACGAAAACCTCGTCCCTCGCCCTGCCCTGCAGGTCCCTGGAAGGGCCCTCCACCCACGCGGGCCGGGACGGCCCCCTCCCCTCGCGACAGGCGTTGCCGTGAATTCCTTTCGCTTTGGCGAGGGAGGGTCTCCGGGGCCAGAGAGCCCGCCCTCCTGGGGCTGCCCTTGGAGACGCCGACCGGCGCTGCCCCGAGAGCGGCTGGTTCCCGGGGGTGCCCTGGGATGCCCGGCTTGGCCCCGCCGGGCTCCTGCAGAGGGAGCTCCCGGCTGGCTGAGTCACCCGGGGAGGGAGGCTCGGGGTTCCCCGCCTG